TATTATTATTATTATTATTATTATTATTATTATTATTATTATTATTATTATTATTATTTTAACTGTGAGAAGCTCAGAACTTCAGGTGACATAGAGTGAGATCAAGCAGGTTTTTATTTGCAAAAATCAATTTTCTCCAGAATAATAGCAAAAGTAATCTATTTTTGTGTGACGTTTAAATATTCCTTCTTGTGTAACATTAATGTTTATTTTCTTGTTCGTAAAGTTTGTTTTTTATATTGTTTTTTTTGCTGTTCATACTTCTTGAGTTCCACAATCATTTAAAAACTTTTTTCTGCTTTAGCTGCAGAATAGCACCTCTGTCCATTGCTTTGTTTAAATCTATAAAGCATTATTATTAGAATGAACATTCATCCATTTTTAATTCCTACCTTATTTTGCCTGGGTGTTTTCATAGCCCTGACACACTGGCGCACGGTTGTGAAACTGGCTCTGACGTCAGCGCTGACATTCAGGCATTGATTACAAACCAGGATGTTCTGGAGGAAAGCGGCGATATGACAGAACCACCAGAACCAAGCCATGCGCTCTCCTGCCCCGTGGACCCTGAGCGAGAACAACAACAACCAGAGAGTAGGCGATCTCAAAGCATGCAGGGGTGAATTTTTTTTCTCACACATATATTCTTGCACAGTTTGATGAGTGAGAGGATGTGATTTGTCCATCTAGTTGTTCTCATCAACCTTCTATGTGTCCACAGGATGTTTTCACAGATGCCTCCACTTATGACCACGTCTAAGGAGAAAGAGCAGGAAGATGTACAGAAAACTTCTTGTTGTTTGTTGATTTGTTTTTATATTATTTGTTCTTATGTCTCACTTTTGCTGACCGCAATTTCTTTCTTTCTTTTTTTGCAATATCTGTCTCACCTGTCTTTTTGAAAATAATTCAACAGTCACAGAAATATATTGCAAAATATACAGTATGTAAGGGAGGTTGAGACTGAGTATTGTAGGATGAAAACGATTCATTCTGAGGACTTTATGACGTGCATTCAATTGTTTTTCCAGGCTTCCTCAAACGCAGGGCGGGAGTCATCTGTTTCGAATCGCAGCAAAGCAAGTGAATCACCACTCAAAACCCAGAGACAGGACACAGAGAGGTGAGACAATTTGTCATTGTCGGATAACTTTAAAATAAAATAGAAGTGGAATAAAAATGTCCTATTTCTTTGAACTAATCCAAATTTAAAGCTCTAAGCCCACCTAATGGATGCTTCTTTCAGCTGCTCCCTTTTTCAGGGGTCGCCACAGCGAGCGAACTCGCATGAAAGATTTAACAACTTTTACACCGGGTGCCCTTCCTGCCGCTACCTGGGCTTGAACCCACAACCTCAGGATTACAAGACTGCAGCACTGACCACCAAGCTACCGCAGCCCAAACCCACCTAATAAGTCTTAATGCTTAAATGAACCATTTTAATTCTTTGCAGCAGTAGAAGTATATCAGATCTAATTTGATCTAATAGTTTTAGATGCTGCGAATGTCTTTGTGTCCCTCTACTCCTGCCCCCCCCCCCCCCCACCACCACCACCACTCAGTTCATGTCTAAGCCCTGCGGTCAGTTCAGAAGTAGGTTATCAGGGCATTGTGCTGCTCACAGTCATGACTTTGATATGATTCCAGTCCAAATAACTCTAACTTGCCACAAGGGCTCATGTACAGCAAACCAGCTAACGACGTCACATTAGCATGGTGGGGTGCTAACTTTCTGTTTGTGTTTCTGCTGCTGAATCAGAGAACAGCTTAGCTCAGCTATGCCTCATTAATTTCAGGCATGAATAAGCTGTAGCTCTAATACCAGATGTCGTCCTGTTTGATGCAGTATTGATAACGAGAGACACGTTGTATAATGTGTTCAGTGTTAAAGTCACATTGACTGCAGGGGGGTGAAAGAAAGATGCTGCAAAAACTATGGTGGCTTGTGATGTCATTGCATTTGCCAGTTATTGACATACTTTTGTTTTCTAGCTTATTGTGCTGCATCAAGTGCAAGAATGAAGAGAACGCCACATTCTCACAATGCAAGGTGAACTGGCTTTCTGTTAAATATAATATCAACCACATGTGGTTTAAAAATAATTCAACAGTCCCTACCTGAATTTTTGTCCTCTAAACAATTAGGAATTGTGTAATTTTAATGTGTGATGAAGTTGTAATGATGTAAATTATGTCATAGGTTAAGTCATTATTAATCCTTAAGAAATGTGAAAAAAATATGTTAATACTGCAGGTCAGTGCTTAAGTTATGAACAAAGAATGCTTATATTTTAAATTTTCCTTCCCCCCGGTGTGTAGCTTATATCTGAGTATAAGCAGTTGAGTGAATTATCCATAAAATACAGTTTAAAACAAACTAAATCAGGGCTATTTACCTGTTGTTTTGTCTGTACAGCACTTTGGTTGGCCTTGTTGCTGTTTTAAGTGCTTTATAAATAAAGTGGTATGGTATGGTATTCAACCAAACTGCTCAGGGGGCCACAGTTGCTGAAAGCCAAGAGCTCAGGGACCAGATATTCAGCAGTTATAGTCATTGAGTAAGCTTGTTTTACAATTTAAAATCTAGTTTTATTTAAAAGTGAACCCATCAGTGGGCTGAACAGAGCACACCGGTGGACCTGATTTGGCCCCTGGGCCGCCAGTTGAACAGCCGTGTCCTAAATGCTTTAGAGAGGAGAAAGGGACGCCTCAGTTTGAGGCTTGTATTTTAGCTAAATGGAAATAGATATTATTCATGCTCATGTTAGATTTTAAATCATTAAAACGGTCAACATCAAGTTAGCACTTTCACACAGGATAGAAGAAGCAGCTAAGCTGTTGGCAGAACTGTCACCCATGATAAAGATAATTAGGGAAAGTATTTTGAAACATTTGTTAAGCAGCAGCTGAAGAAGTTTTCAAAGTCAGACTGCTGCATGATAATAACAAATGTTAAAGTATGAACTCAGCTTGACTTTACTCTAGAAAAACTTTTCATATCGTGGATGAATGTCGCCATCTTTGCGTTTGTGTCGTCTGTAATGTACATTTTTGCCTCTGGATGTGTGTGTTCATTAGTGTTTTCTCTTTCTTTAGAATAGCAAAGGAGGAGTAGGATGCTGCGGTTCTCCTGACGGTCACGATGGTTGCATGGGCACGAACAGCAGCTCTGACGTAAGTTCCCCTCCTTCATGGTCTTTTTAGTGACACAAACAACAAGAAAAGAAAGAATCTGTGATAAGGCAGGTGATACCTCAAGCGTGTGAATCAGTGTGTAGAAAGGTTTGAAGACCCCTGCCTGTGGGTGTTTTGCTTCTATAATAATCATCTAGGTCCTCTCCCTAACATGTTCCCACCTCCTGTGTGACGCACAGAGCAGCTTTTTTCGTGAATGAACTGCCAGTAACGAGGATAAAGAAGCCCAGCCTTCATCTGCTGCTGCTAATGGTGCGAACGACGATGCGTGGAGTGTATGATGTCCAAAACAAACCTGCTTCATATTCGAGCCTCCTCACTGAGATTTATTTTTGCCTTCCCTCTGAACGACCAAGTCAGATTTTACTGCATACACACCCACTTGCACGTACGCACACTCATGCGGGCAAACGGTTACCCTTCGTCTCATCAGATCCGACTCCTTGCCCCAGACAACGTTGCCGTGGAAACGCCTCGTCATATGCAGCGCAGCTCTCCGCTCTTGCACACGCACCCACACGACACGCAGCGACGCGAGCGATATTCCCACCGCCGCCCCCTTCATCCACGTATTGTGAATAATCCATGTGGAGGCTGCTCAGCTGCAGAGGCGTCGGGAATGCCGGTCAGAGGGGTTTAAAGACTCGCTCTGCAAGCTCGCCATATTCTCATGCACTCCTTTGACGCACAAACCTGTGGATCAAGTGGAAATCAGTGATACGGCTGCTGTTCAGGAATCCCACAGTGGACTTTGATTCTAATTAGGAGGCTGACTCACTGAAGGATGATTCTCCTGCCGGTTGAGTATGTCTTGTCGCTGATTAAAACTGCGTGATCTGAAGGGACTGCAGCCGTCGAAAGTCTGTTTTTGTGTTTTATATTGGGCCGTTTTCGCTTTGCGTGATCAATATATACGCTCCTCGCACTTCAGCCGTGACGTCTACTCATAGAGCATCGCTGTGAGCAATTTTTGACTTGAACTCCCTGGAAGGCTCCCCTCGTCCTGCAGCTCTCTACTCAACCACACACCGGACTAGTCAAGTAGTTTTGTGTCAATCGGACTTCCCAAGTTTGCCGAGCAGCATGTGAATCGCTCGTCTCCAACTCAACCGTTCGTCTTCCAGACCTCCGTCGCACCTTTGAAGACATGTTCTGCTTCTGTTTCCAGAGCCCATCCCTAAAACTGCAAGCTCTGGAGGCTGACTCAGGTCCACCGCCAGAATCATTAGACCCCCAAGCCCAGGATAACGTACCGACACAGCAGCAGCCTCTTCCCATGGAAACACAGCACCTCTGTCTGAACCACACGCCACCTTTGCCTCCGTCTCAGGATCAGCACACAGTTGACTCATCTCAGCCCGGTAAGATATTCAGTGAAGTGATATTGATGCAGTAGAATGATGTTGGTTATTTATCTTACGTTTAAGTAGATGAAATATTTTCCTTTATTTGTTGGGAGTGCATGCTTTATTACCTGTCACCATTTTTTTTTACGTCTGTGAATAGTAAAAATTGTGTCAGGTCACTGGTTTCACTGTCATTTTTTGGTTGTTGAAATCTTTCCCTCCTATTTTATGGCTTTATTGTTATTTCTTATGGAAAACAAAAAAATGTAAAAAAAATTTTTGCTAGCATTGCTGATTTTTTTAAAATTAGTTTATTCATTCATTTAAAATAGATAAAATAAAACAAAGTAATCAAAAAGGCAACAAAAAAAACATTGAATGAAAAGGGTGCAGAAAGAAGAAATAAACTTATAATATCTGCCCCTTATTTAAAAAATATATAAAATAACTTTAAACAAACAACAACTTAGGCTTGAACATCTCCAAAGTGCAAACAAAAACATCAGGCATCCTTCACTTGGCACCATACTTCCCTAATAATTTTAACTTAATCATCTTTTTAAACATATACATTGTTTTAGAAATGTTTATGGTGATATCAAGACAATTCCACAATCCTATTCCCTGAATTACAACACAGCTCCTTCACACTAGTTCTACGTAAATTAAGGTTTTACAATCATATCCCTTCCCTTAAAGTTATAATGACTCTCTTTTATAACAAATTTTAAATCACTATTTGGGGGTAATATTTTTTATGAGCTTTATACATCCAACCATCCATACATCCATACATCCATTTTGTTCCGCTTATCCGGAGTCGGGTCACGGGGGTAGGAGCCTAAGTAGGGAGGCCCAGACTTCCCTCTCCCCAGCCACTTGGTCCAGCTCCTCCGGGGGAATCCCGAGGCGTTCCCAGGCCAGCCGAGAAACATAGTCCCTCCAGCGTGTCCTGGGTCTTCCTCTGGGCCTCCTTCCGGTGGAACGTGTACAGAACTCCTCACCAGGGAGGCGTCCAGAAGGCATCCTAAACAGATGCCCGAGCCACCTCAACTGGCTCCTCTCGACGTGGAGAAGCAGCGGCTCTACTCTGAGTCCCTCCAAGATGACCGAGCTTCTCACCCTATCTCTAAGGGAAAGCCCAGACACCCTGCGGAGAAAACTCATTTCGGCCGCTTGTATCCGAGATCTCGTTTTTTCAGTCACAACCCAAAGCTCGTGACCATAGATGAGGGTGGGAACGTAGATCGATCGGTAAATTGAGAGCTTCGCCTTTTGACTCAGCTCTCTCTTCACCGCGACAGACCTGTACAGCGCCCGCTTCACTGCAGACGCTGCACCTATCCACCTATCGATGTCTCGCTCCATTTTTCCCTCATTCGTGAACAAGACCCCGAGATACTTGAACTCCTCCACTTGGGGCAGGACCTCCTCCCTGACCCAGAGAGGGCACTCTACCTTTTTCCGGCTCAAGACCATGGCCTCGGACTTGGAGGAACTGATCCTCATCTCGGCCGTGTCGCACTCGGCTGCGAACCGCTCCAGCGAAAGCTGTAGATCATGATCTGATGAAGCCAATAAGACCACATCATCTGCAAAAAGCAGAGACGCAATCCTAAGGCCACCAAAACAGATCCCCTCAACACCTTGGCTGCGACTAGAAATTATGTCCATAAAAGTTATGAACAGAATCGGTGACAAAGGGCAACCTTGGCGGAGTCCATCTCTCACCGGGAACAAGCCCGACTTACTGCCGGCACTGCGGACCAAGCTCTGACACCAGTCATACAGGGACCTAACAGCCCGTATCAAAAGGCCCGGTACCCCATACTCCCAGAGTACCCCCCACAGGCTTCCCCGAGGGACGCGGTCGAATGCCTTCTCCAAGTCCACAAAGCACATGTAGACCAGTTGGGCAAACTCCCATGCACCCTGCAGGACCCTGCTGAGGGTGTAGAGCTGGTCCAGTGTTCCACGACCAGGACGAAAACCGCACTGCTCCTCCTGAATCCGAGGTTCAACTATCCGACGGCTTTATACATGACTTGCAAAATACTATATTCAACCAAATCATCAAATCATAACATTTTTAATAATTTCAACTGATGAAATAATATATTTGTTGGGTGACCATAGCACTTCCTACTAATAATTCTTATAGCTCTTTTTTGTTTAATGAAAATAGGGTTTGTAATTGTTGTGCATGCTTTCCCCCAAACTTCAATACAATAGATTAAATATGGAGCAATCATTATATTATACAATATATACAAAGCTTTGTCATTCAAAAACTCTTTTACTTTTATACAGCAATGCCATTGATTTTACTATTTTTATTTTTAAGTAATTTACATGAGATTTCCAGGTCAGCTTCTCATCAATAACGACACCCAAACATTTTATTTCATTAACTCTATGAATTTCAGTACTGTCAATTTTAAATGGGACTTTGATGATTTTATTTCTATTACTAAATATCATGTAGTTTTTTTTTTTTTTCAAATTTAATGATAACTTATTACGTTGGAACCAAGTTTGTATTTTTACAAATTCTGCCTGTATCATCTCTAACATCCATTCAACATCTTCACCCGAACAAAAAAATGTGGCATCATTTGCAAATAAAACACACTTCAAAAGCCCTGACACATCAACCAGATCATTCACATACAAAATAAACAACTTTTGTCCCAACACAGAGCCCTGAGGAACTCCACATCCATTCACACAAAATTCTGATCTTACATCATATACCTGCACAAACTGTCTCCTATTATTCAAATAACTAGATAACCTAGACTAGATATTTTTTAGATAACCAGATATTTTTCTTTTATTTAAACAGAGAATGAAGAAAAGAACACTTGTTGAATGTAACAGACAAATGAGGCGATTCTTATTTCAGCTCACATTATGTCTTTTTATTTTGTTCCCTACAGTACGCCGCCTGACACCATCTTTATCCTCATCCAGCCTTGTTTTTTCCACTGCCTTGTGTTCTGAAGATCTTTCTGAAGAACACAGTTTGCTGAGTCCACCCGTGATCAACGCCAGTCCGCTCCTTTCTTGTTTTACGCCAGACGACAGCCCCGTCCCCTCGCCCCGCTGCTCCAGCCTCACCCACAGCCTTCGCTTCAACTTAGACCCTGAAGCAGCTCCATCCCCGCCATGCTCCCAGCATATTCACATGTAAGGCTTTTGTTGTTTTGACTATTTAGAAGGACAGTTGCTTTTATGTGTGATAGTTTCTAACTTTAATGTCTTCCCATATGATGTGAATTACATGCACACTAATAGACAGATTTTCAAAAGTAGTTGCAGACTTCATGGGCTTTCCATCTCCAGGGCCCGCTGCAGTGTCCTTACAGAACCAGAGGAAGGTTCTGTGTCCATTTCGGTGCTCAACAGACACATTCACACACTCCGAAAGAGGATCAGACGTTTTGAGGAGCATTTTGAACAGGAAAGGCACTACAAGGTAACCCTGCATGGCTCAGTATTGAATAGAAATACAAACTTAGTTTACACGAATCTCTTAAGCTCTTTAGATAAAGAATACAATATAGATTTTATTGACTCATCAGTGACAACAAGTTACAAATCTTTTATGCACAGAAGCATAAGACATATTTATGTTTTTACTGTGATTGCACTTGTTTTTGTGTTTGTGAGGTCTCCACTGATGCCTCTGCTTCAAACTTTAAATATCACACATTAACAAATTGCTCTCTCTGTTGGTTGATGGGAAAATTACAGTTTGTTATACAATAAATCTGGCTGATAACCCCTCCCTCTCACACCTGGAACAAGACTCACTGTAAGCTGTTTTCTTGTTTTTTTTTGTTTTTAGCCCGCTCACAACGACAAAACTGCACATCCAGAAGTGGCCAAACTGATGAAGGAGCTCATCAAGAGTCGTAAGCAGCTCAAAGGTCAATTACTTAATAATGAACACACACTCACACTCGAAACTGATTGCAGTGTCAGAAGTGTTTTGATATTTGCTTCACTTCCACTTCATTGATGCTTCAGCTGCATTGTGCTAAATTTGGCTTTGTGATAAATCAGCTATTTAAATTGTGGTATTTTTCTTTAGCCTTACCAAGATGGAATATCCATCCATCCATCCATTTTCTTTACCCGCTTATTCCATTTTGGGT